TAGCTTAACTTTAAAATATTTTTTTTGTCATTGACTGTCTGTTGAGTGACCTAAATAAACCAATGTCCTGTTTTGAGTCTAATAAAGAACAAATAGTCAAGTGAGCCTACTTTTTAGTGCGACAAAATGGTTATATGACGAAACTTTTTTGGCTTATAATCTAGATAAATATATTTTCTTTATTTACTTAAGTTTACTATTCCACGCGGAAAAGTCGCGAGCACAGCTAGCAAATAATAAATGGTCACGTTAGTAATAACTCTTCAAAAACGGCTATATTAAATACATGTTATCGATACGTTACTGCGTTATTTTCAGTAAAATCAGTTGGAAACATGTCTAAAATAGAAATATATTCGTTTTCATTTCCTTGTTTACGTTACAATTGAAATTATTGGAACTAGTTATCCGTGTGAGTTTTATAGGTTATTGACACATGAAAATACAAAATTATGAAAACTTCAGCATTACGATTGATTGGTTATATTCATATTTATAAAATTATACCAATACTAGCTGTGTCCGCGTCTTCGTCCGCGTGTTATAGTGACCTTAATAAAGAAAAGAATATTTAATAATCCAACCCAAATAACCCAATAATAATTTCAACTTAAAAATGTAAAGTAACAATAAAATTATTTGAAAGAGCAACATGCAAGTTTCTTGCTCGTTCTTCTTGTGATGAGACAGCTTTCCGAATGAGCGGTAGTTTGAAAAAAATGTGATGACTATTCAAAAGTGATTCAATGTAAGTTTGTTTAAATAAATGATTTTTATTCTTTTCTATTGATCTAGTTTCAAAAATGATGAATTTCCATACAAACTTTCATTCTCAATATTATTTTACCCCCTTATGGTATCATTTTTACAAACTTTGAATGTTATATTTCGCCGCAATATGTACTCTTTACTTATGTACATATGTCGTGCATTAAAGTTATTTAAATAAAAAAAATATTTATTTATATTTAATCAACAGTCTATAAAATAATACCTAATTAATTATGGTCGAATTACGACCACTTGGAGACCACTGGAGACCAGTCGGAATAAATTTATTACGGTTCATGTAAAAGATATCCTAAGTATTAGTCTGTGTGTAATCTTTTTTTATTGATTTAATGTACTATTATGCTTAAGTAAAAAAAATTGCATTCGCACTCCTTCTTTATATGAACTATAAGTGTGCGAAATTTATCCACGTCCATCCGCGCAATTTTCGTAAAAAGGGGTACAAAATTTTTGCATCACGTAGTAATATATAACCTTTCCCATATTTAAATGAAAACACGTATTTTTATCTTTTAAAATTTATTATCTTTTAAAATATGCAATGTGAAAGCGAAAGGATTTTAGCACCGGAAGAGGTCAAGACCGACCTATTATGATAAGATTTATCGCGATTAGACGTTCACCTTGATGAATAGGATGAGTTATGAAAGTAGACAACTGTTATAAATGACTAGACGAATAGACATTTTGGCACCTACTCAGTTAGGTCTACCCATCCTAATCGGAGGGCTGGTGTGATGATATATTAAAGATATTTAACAATCTTGTTAATATTATAAACGCGAAAGTAAAGTATGGATGGAAGTTTGTTACTCTTTAACATAACGGATTTTGATGAAACTTTACAGTAATATAGCTTATACATCAATATAACATATAGGCTTTGAAATTCACACGGGTAAAAGCGCGGGCACGGCTAGTATAAAATAAACTAAGAAAATTAAAAACATCGTATGGGCACAGTTTCCTTTGCCATACAGTTGAAGGATAATAGTACCAAAAAAAAAATGTCGTAGTGTTCTTGGATAGAGGTGACGACGATTACCGTTTATATTCAGGTGGAACGTCTGTTTGTTTGCCATTCAAATTACATAAAAATAAGTGGTAATTTCAGCTTAATTAAAATTAACGTTTCAACTGTATTTTACGATATGTCGTTTCAAAATTAATTGAATTATTAAAGATTAAGCAACAAGCGGATTTAGGTATTACAACTAACTCCTAATAGACGGTGTAAACAAATTTATATTTAATGGAATTAGTCGTTAATTGGTAATTTAAAATTGTGAGGTCACGTTGTCAAACGTCTACGAGAAATACATAAAAATAATATGAACTCACCATATTAATTGCCATGAGCAAAAATAAATTTGTCCAAGGACTTGAATAAATCATACATAAAATTTGAGGTCAACACTGCCGTTCATTTGAAAATGTTTATATTCGATTCACTTTTGTGGAATTTTTAAAAACTTAACACTAATACATCATTTATTAACACAGATTAATATAAAAAAAATGATAAATATTTTGTATATATAAAACTGACTTTTAATATTTTTAATCTATTTACAGTTCCATTTTTAAATTACAGAATATGCGCGCGTATTTTGACAGGCGGCGCAGGCCATAGAGTCCGCGCTTTACTTTTTTAGACGACTAGTAGAGCGCGCGGTTCGTGGCATACTGCCGTAAGAAGCTTCGCTCGACCGCATAAAGATGTGTGATTAGATGTAACATTCTGATAAAATGTTTGCGATTATCTATTATGAATATCATTTATACACGCGCTGATCTTGAAATCATAATTGCATTATCTAAATTAAATTTCTATTTTATATAAATAAAGTGCTATTTTATAATTCAGTTTCATTAAATTGTGAGGTTTGTTAAATCAACTTAATAATTGTATCTACGGTATACTTATATAACAATTTAATAAACTTACAAACATTTGGTCATGGGCAGACTGCAACAGCGTTGAAATGTCGGGAACTCATATTCATAGACAATGTTATTTGTTATAGTAAATATCTACTACAACTAGTATTAGTCAACCGATAGTACAACATTTATTTTGTAAATAAATATGTAATATACCCAGAAAACATTGAGACTAATACAAATGATCATACTCACATCCAGACCAATACAAACAATCATACTCATGAATACAAATGTGTTGCACCACGCGAAGAATTGAACTCGCAACCACCGGGAGCATGGCGGTGTACTAAACGTCGTAATCGTTAAAGATTGTCATCGATATTGATTAAAATGAGATCTTGACTGATAAAGAAATATCTATATTTTTAATATCGTCTCGATGATATGTCCTATCATATCAGTCTCTAGTAAATTTTTCTGCCTGTCCTAAATAGTGCTCACTAGGGGGAAAGGCATTTCATTTCTACTAATATTCATATATGTTGGGAAAAGAGTATTGTTAGTAATGTGGACCAATTTACTGGATTTAAAGACAAACTTGCTGTCCCCAAGTATCGTTTAGAAAAAGTTAATAGGTCTTTTATGGGAATAGGTATAAAAATTTACAATAAGATACCAAAGGATATGTTGGAATTACCCTTAAATAAATTCAAAATATCTGTTAAATCATATTTACTGAGCAAAGCCTATTACTCACTAAACGATTACTTGAATGACGAGTGTGCATGGCAATAGTTGTTCATGCACTGAATTTTCATTTAATGTTAGACATAGACACCTATATAAAAATACATTGTAAAGAACTGGCTTTAAAAAAAAAAGTAATTCAATTGAGTTTCTTGCCAGTTCTTCTCAATTGGATCTATATACCGAATTGGACGGTAGGGAAAAAATAAAATTATAATGTAAAAATTTGACGTTCATAAGCGGCTAAAATGTCCTACATGAATAAATGATTTTTGAATTTGAATTTGAATTTGAATGTACCAGGTCAGGTTGACCTCCATGCGGTACTTCTGGAAACCATTGTGATAAATTCTTGGTGAATTTGTCATGATGTGCTAACTGACCTGACCTCATGCTCATCTTATCCTTCTCTGGTGTCCCGCCATCGTAAACCGTTAGCGCGGCCGGGTGAACCATACCGTTATCATCCATAAAAAAATATACCATGTCTGATTGACATCTACGCAGTGTCCTCTGGGTGATTCCCAGATAAATTCCTGTAGTATTTGGCACGATAGGCTAACTGTCTTGACCTGGCTGGCGGGGCTTCAGTGGAGCATGAAAGGATGAGTTTTACATATTTTCGCCCATAGACCGTTAGCGCAGGAGGGAGTACATACACATGATCCATTTTATTATTATAGCCCTTAATTTAGACGTAATTTTTTTGTCCTGTTCATTCTATATCTAGTAGTTCTTGGACGTCTGCTTGTTTCCAAGCAAAGGCCTCATCTAATCTTTTCCACTCTGTTCTGTCTTGTGTGATCCTGGTCCGTACCTCCCCTGCTGTTCTAACTATTTCATTTTCCCATCTTCTATTTGGTCGTCATCTTTTTCTTTGTCCTTGTCTTGGGGGCCAAGTAGTTATGACCTTACACCATTTATCCTTTATCCTTTCCACGTAATGGCCAACCCAGCGCCATTTCAGCTGTCTAGTTTTGATATTTATATCTGGTGCTTTAGTTATATTGGTTTTACGCCACCAAGGAACAGGACAGGACATTATGGACTATATCCGGACCAAAAGTAACTTGACATAGAGGGTGACGCAGTTTAAATCGAGTTACAACGCGAGATTCAAAGCGTTCGTGGCCCGGGTCCCTACTAACATGCTGCACCTTCATAAAGGACGACAACTGGCCGAAGGGAGACCCCCTTCGGCCAGTAGTCGTCCTTCGGCGCTACCGTGGAAAATTGCCGTCGTCAGTGTCGTGATCACAGAGACAATTTGAATTAGCATTTGTTATGTCTGTTAGTCTATAAGGTATTTATAATATATCTGTTTTATAAGTGACAGTTTAAGTCTACGATCAGTATTTTGGTATATTTGTGTGTAAAATTTAGTGTTTATGTTATTTTGATGACCCTTATTCTATTGTTATAAGCATAATTTTTGTCTAGCAAAAACAATATTTAAATATTATACTTCATAAAAAAAAAAAAGTCACAATAAAAAAAAGGCTATGTAGCCTGAATTTAATAAGTCAGGCTACATGGCCTATTCCATTATCATCCCTTAAAAAACTAGTGCTTACCGCGAGCAGAGTGGGCAGGGCGATTGCCATGCGCATAGTAGCAGCGCGGCGTCTGCGCGGCCGCCGCTAAGTGACGGAGGCGGCGGGCGGACGGGCGCGCGCGGGCCGCATCCGGCCGCCCTCCCGGCCTCTACCACCGTCGGAGACTCATCGTACACCTGGAACAAACAAATAAACATCAATAATATAGAAACATTCATAGAGTCATCTTACACGTGAAATAGAAAAAGAGACACCAATAATAAAAAATATATTCAAAAGGACATCTTATATTTGCAATAAATAAATTCAAAAGTGTTATTAGATTTATGAGATTCAATATTATTTCTATTTCTTTTAAACAATGATCAAAATATTTGAGCTGAGTATACCAATATTATAAACGCAAAATTTTGTGAATATGGATACCCTTTCGAGCAAAAACTACTGAACAGATTTTACTGAAACTTGACAGTAGTTAGCTTATACATAGATCAGAATAACACAGGCTATAATTAATACAATTTTATGTAAGTTGGGCAAAATATAATAATAAATATCAAGTAAGTGTGATGCAGACGAAGATGCGCAAGTCAGCTAGTATTAAATAATTAAGATATTAGAGCTATGTGAAGTCCAATTGTGGAATCAAGTATATGTAAGGTCTGTTACTGTAGCTATTGAAAAACAGAATCACAGATTATCAAGCTAACAGTTTGCCGCCAAAAATACTCAAACCATAGACAATTAGGTCATTTTACCATTTACAATGTCACTACACTTAAGTACTGGAAGCCGATTGTGCAAAGTCACATGCGTTATTCTTGACTTGTATCTATAATTAGTGACTTTGTAAATGGTAAAACCCTTTAAAATAAACCAATCCCTACAGACGGTATGCCTGTAATATCTCTATAAAGACCATTATAAAATGCATTTACTTTTTTTTCTCTTCTTTAGGTTCCGGCGATTCGTATGCATTTACTTGTAAGTGCTCGAATTCTATTCGCTCCATAGCACGCATGCGCAATATAAAATGAAGGCAGCCATCTTTATTATTCATTGTATTTTTTAATAAATTGACTTTCAAATAATAATTAATCCGGTGATTTAATCAGTCATTAACTTACTTATTATAATAAGTAAATAATCAAACAGATTATCTATCTATATTATTTTTTGTTTATAATAAACACTGTAAATAAACGTTTTATTGTGTGTCGGCCTAAACAATGTTAGGTCGAGGAGTAAAATGCATAGGATTTTAATCTTTTTGGGGATTATCATTTCAAACATATAAATGGATATGTAGATGAAAAAAATAGAAAATAGATATGATAGATATATCTTTACTATAAGCTGTTGTTGAATAGCATGTTCTTTATTTTAACATAATGTATGATATATTTAATCTATTTTACAATACTTTCAGTTTCATCTTCTATCTTAATTTCATAGGGGATAAATTTAGATAAAACAATGTAGTAAATAATGTATGTATCAAAATTACTATAGTTCTCATATTCCTATTTTCAAAAAGTGATCAACTTTTATTCAATTTCTAGCCCAATTTCGCCCCTGTTAGGGGATGAATTTCGGAAGCGTGACAGCAGAACTCAAATGTTATGAGTAGGTATTATAAATAAAATCTGCTGTAAAAAGTAAAATCTTCCGTTTTTTATAAATGTATAGATAATAGTAATAAAAATTTTTAGGAGTATATTTTTTTACAACAGTATCTCACGACAATTCACACAGCGCCATCTACTCGCAAATTAAGCAGAGCTTGTGTTATGGATACTAAACAATCGATTTTTTCTAAATACATATAATATACATAGAAAACACCCAGACCCATACAAACATACTCATGAATACATGTTTGAACCGTGCGAGGAACTGAATTCGCGACCAATAGAAGAAAGGCGGTGCGCTAAACTGCTAAACCATCGAGGACTTCGAAGTTATTGAATGATAATAGTAATAAAATCTACTATATATATACATATATATAAAAAAAAGGTACACTGTAACATAAAACGATAATAATATTTTATATACATTTTTCCTTGATTACTAACATGCACTTTAGATTGCGACGTCATATTATTGCTATATGTAACTCCGTCATAGTTCAAAGTCTATATATGATTTATCGGAAATTTAAATTCTGTTAGGGCATGTTCACACTGCGCTTCATTTTTTTTTATTCTGACTACTAATGCTGATGGCCGCAGCTGGCGCTGTGTGAATTGTCCAAGTCAATATATTATTATTATAAACTGTTTTAAATATAGCGCGGTGATTATATATACGTATTATAATTAGTTAATTCAATATAAATAAAACGTGGTAATTCCTGTGATTTTTAGTAATTATATATATATTATTATTATTATATATTTTTTCGGACTACTCTAATGCTGTTGGCCCGCAGCTGGCTTTTACAGCTTCACCGGACGATAGGGGGCGAGTGCAGATGGCACTCCAAACCCGCGGAAGATCTTATGGAGCGGCTGAAGGCCAACTCCCGCCTGACGGATACGACTTTAGTCTGAGGGCACCGCTAGGAGTTCGAACCTCGGCGCGGGCCGTCGTAATATCGATCCCCGTTTGAATTGGACGGGGTTCGATCGGAGGGGACTGTGCTTCATCAAAATGTATACAACAATATACAAACAATATAAAATGTATACAATGATATACAAATGTATATAAATTAATTTGAAGTGTCTTTTTGTAATTTCATATGAACAATTTTTTATTAAAATTATATATGGTAATTATATAAATAAAATTAATTGAAAAAAAATGTCTGTCTGTCTTTCATTTTATGTATTTGTTCTTGGTGATCTCTGAAACGGCTGGACCAATGACGGGACTACCACTTGCAGGTAGCTAATGTTAGAAGGAGTAAATTTACGTACTTTTACTTTAGAAATTTTATTTCTTTTAATTCAGTCGTGGGTAATAAACAGGTCGTTTGTGAGTGTGGACGGATGGATGGAAGTTTCTTACTCTTTCATGCAAAAACTACTAAATAAATTTTAATGAAACTTTACAATAATATAGCTTATATCTAAGTATTCTGATGTATAAGTTATGTTATTGTGAAGTTTATTAAACACATAGGTTATACATTTCAAAGTGAATCTTAAGTATTGCTAGTAATATATAAAACGTGTTAAGAAACTGTCATTTTCTTAATATAATTAATAATATATAGGTATATTATTGACGACCTCGGTGTTCTAGCGGTCTAGCACACCGCTTTACAACCGATGGTCGCGGGTTCGATTCCTCGCACGGCACAAACATTTGTATTCATGAGATTGTTTGTATCGGTCTGGGTATTTTCTATGTATAATATGTATGTATTTAAAAAAAATATATCTATGTATATGTATCAGTTTTCTAGTACCCATAACACAAGCTTAACTTGGGTCTAGATGGCGCTGTGTGAATTGTCCTGAGATTATTATTATTATTATTATACTATATAGTCCTACAGTTATATATATATGTGCATATAACAGTGGGAACTCAGCATTAATCACATTATCATAGTGACATCATAATCCCCGGCGCCGCTTCACACCTATACGTAGTCACTGACATCATGGACCTTATCTCCTGATATCTCCGGCGCCTCGGCTATCAATCATCTATATTGAAATATTTGCCGAATGATTCACGTTTGTCAAAATAGATATATAAAAATTGAATGTCATGTTTTCGGAAATTTAGTATTACTAATAACTGTGTAGTAGATTACTTTTAACTGACTGTTTACCGCTATTTTTATTGCATAAATACATACGAAAATTTACTGATTATTTTTTTGGTATTGAAATAAAATTGCATTGCAGTTAATTTACACAAACAAAAGAGAAGAAAGAAAAAAACAACTAAACGTATAGTATTAGTAGAGATCATTGTACCTGTACCATAGGAAACAAATATACCTAAAGACTGTGCAATAGAAATAAATAAAGATTACGAACTAATTAACAAATTATCTAAAAATAGTCACAGGTTCGGCCGCACATGGAGTACTGCTCTCATCTTTGGGCGGGAGCACCTGGATACCAGCTCGGTCCTTTTGACTCGGTTCAGAGACGTGCTATGAGAATTGTCGATGATCCCAATCTCTCTGGCGGTATCGAGCCACTTAGCTTGAAGCTAGACTTCGCTTAGCATTGTGTGTTCTACCGATTATACAACGGACTCTATTCTGAGGAATTGTTCGACATGATGCCGACAGCCACCTTTTACCACCGCTCGCCATCAACAGGGAATTCATCCCCACACACTGGAGCCTAAGTGGTCCCGAACTGTGCGGTTTCAGAGGAGTTTCCTCCCGCGTACACTTAGATTGTGGAATGAACTTCCTGCCGAGGTTTTCCCACGAGACTACAGCATGGGGTTTTTCAAGAAGGGTATATTAAGGTTTCTTAAGGGTCGGCAACGCGCAAGTGATACCCCTGGTGTTTCAGGCGTTCATAGGCTACGGTAACCATTTACCATCAGATGGGCCGTATGCTTGATTGCCACCATCGTAGTATAAAAAAAATGGAAATGTGGTTAATTTATATGCGATCGAAGTGTTAGAGATATTCTTCTTCTTATTCGATTTATTCTTGTCAGAACGGTCGTGGTCATTATGTAGTAGAGTGAGAGACAGATGTCATCCGTCGTAGAATATTTCGCCACTTCTCTCTACTGGCTGGTATTCTAGTACATTCGTGGAATGGACCGCCTATTCCTGCTTTGACGTGGTCGTTCCATGTTTCCACGAGGTCTAGTACCGTCAATCATACTCTGTATGACAAGGCGCTCCATGAATGAGTTGTTTCTATGCGAGACGTGACCAAAGAAGGTAAGGACGCGCGATTGTGTTAATGTAGATAGACGCTGTTCTTGGCCTGTGTAGAACTGCAGTAAGTTCTATACTAGAACTTGTATCTAACGCTGCACTAGTAGGTTCCTACCTAATTTGGTTGGACAGGGAGAAACACGAGCGGTGAAGATGAGTGTTCACATGCATCGTCAAGGAATCCCTTAAACCTACACCTGGATCTCAAGTTCTGGAATTGCTCGGAGTTTCCCTTCCTTCCACATGATGGATCCGGCTTGCGCACAAATCCATGAAATATTAAGCCGATTTACGTTGACATTT